AGTGGGCACCTTCTAGGGCAATGGCCTTTACAAGCCGTGATTCTACCATCAAACGTGTGGCTCTCCAAGATCAGAGGCTGTGCCTCGGGCCAAGCAAGGAGCAATCTGGACCCAAGGACTACCCCACCCCACCCCACCCCTCACCCCTTCCCACACGTGGCACTGCCTCCCTCCTCTTTTCAAGGTTCTCGCAGGATCCCTATGCTGAGTGGACAGTGTCAGTGCTCAGAAAACCAGCTTCCCCATGCCAACTCATTTTCCTTGCCCTTAGAAGGAAGTGTATATGATCATTTTGGGAATCTGTGGGTATCCTGGGTCCCGTACTACCCCCTCTCCGCCCCATCCACAGGGAAGGAAGTCAGATTTCCTCCCTACCTACCCCCAGGCCTCTCCCCAGAGCCTCTGCTTCTTCCAGTGCTCCTCTTGATCAGGCTTGTGATTTATGGGGAGTAGCAAAAGTCTGGGAGGGGAAGTCTGGCAAAAAAAAAAGGAGGTGCAGGTGTAGATGGCTGCCTCCTTTCCCCAGCCCCTCCCATTCTTATTAATTCACGCTCACCCAGCCTGGAGCACCCTGGAGGGTTGGGTCTTTTTACCTGAAGTTGGAGACAAGCCTTGTACTTGATTTACAGGCAGGAGGGACTTACCAAGGGGGCGGTGGCTCAGGCTGGTTGCTAAGGTATCTTTTAAATGGAAATCAAGATGGAGAGACAGCTTACATAGAGAGACCAGCCATCTGCTAACTGTTGTTTCTTGTGTCTGGAGCGGCTCATGGTGGTTCAGCCAGGGAGACAGCTTGGGAGCAGGGAGAAGGGAGGAAAGTCTGGGGTCTCACATCTTCCAGCCAGAGAGTTTTCATTTTGATTTTCTGCCTCTGCATCCAGCACTCTCCACTGTCATCATCTTTCTTTGTTCCTGTTGTTTTAAATAGAAAACTCCATCTGGAAGCTTGGATTATAAACCCACAGCCTAGACCCACAATGCTATATTTGCTCTGTGTGTGTGTGTGTGTGTGTGTGTGTGCGCGCGCGCGCGCGCGCGTGTGTGTGTGTGTGCGCGTGCGCGCGCGCGCAGGTGTGGTGAGTGACTCATTACCACCAGGTCCTGACAGCTGTGTCTTTCTGAACCAACCAGGCCTCTCCTTCTGAGTACACCAATGTTCCTTCTAGTCTTTTCCCCAAGCAGAAAAAAAAAACGCAAACGTAGAGGAACAGCTGGTCCGTCGCCAGTTCCTAAGCCATTCCATAGTGGAGCAATCAGTTCCTGATGAGGCCTGCAGCGGCCTCTCTACTCAGAATGGCCTGAGACCAGGCAATCCTTGGGGTCAGCTGTGCTTCTTTCCAGGGGAAGCTTGGTGGTGGGGGGGTGGGGGGAGAAGACCACAGGACTCAGGACCACCACAAGGTAGGAGTGGGCAGGTGGTTCAGTCCCCCGGGAACACCCACTAGGGACATGTACTGCATCCCCCCCATGCACGTTTGGAAGAAGCATGCGAGGAAATCCAATCAAAGTTGGGGAGTCACTGTTTGTGGTGAGCACCCAAGATCAGGCTGACTGGGGAGCACTGTGGGGAAGAGGGGACTCCCCCCAACCTTCCTCCCAGTCTGCCTCACCTGACCACCTCCTGCCCGCTCCTCTATACAAGCTGGCAGCTCTGCTCCTCTGCGGAGGCCCTCCTGCTCTGAAGGCTGATTTGGACATTGGATACCAGGCTCCTCTGCCCAGCCACATTCGTACTCGGATTCCTCCATCCCTACCTGCCTTTACCAGCTTTGTTCACACACAGAAAACCCCACAGCCCCACCACACGCTTTTCATCGGTCTTTCCCCTCTAGTCTCAGCTTTGGCTTTCTCATGGCCACCTCTCCCTGCTCTCCACCATCCGCCCCCCGGGGAACTTCCCAGAGGGACTCAGGCCAGAGCCCCTCCTTCCAGCATTTGTCTCAACTACCTGCAACCAGGAGGGAACCCCACCCCAGCCCTGGTCAGGCACCAATCCAGTCCTTTGTCTTCTTCTCCATTGGAAGTTGAAACTACTCTTTGTTTGGCTGTGAGGGCAATGCATTGACAGTTCTCAGAATACAACTTTAATTAAGATGCAATAGTCACTTCTCTGTCAGTAATCTTGCACACTGATTGCTTAAAATATATTTACCCGGCTCTATTATGTCATAGATTTGAATTCATTAGATGTTGGTTAATCCTCAACAAACTCTTTTTTTTTTTATAATGTGATTCATTTGGCATAATTAACAAAGACAGAGCGGTGTGAGGCAGTGGGCTGCATGCCTCTAGCTCCAGAATGAGCATCTGAAAGTGCCTTCCTTGCATGCTGCCATCCTGGGGCCTTCCAGCCTAGGATGGGAAGACTCAAAGGATGCTGTTAGCAAGACAAGTGCATATTGCACTGATCTGGTCCCTAGGGGTCAGGGTCCCAGGACACAGCTGGTAGAGAGGCCGGGGTTGGGGAGGGGGAGGTCTGGAGGAACAAACCGGAGGGGCTAGCACAACTGATGGGGTATCCTTGAGCCTAGACCCATGTGAACCTCACAAACATGATCACTTTCCAGGTGTGACCTGAGAGAAAATATGGGCCAGTGTTGCTTAGTTTTAGAACATGGTGGCATTTGTTGATAAGAGCTGCTGGTTCCATGGCCCTCCTCATGGAGCCACTCAACACTCACCTGTCCTTCACCCCTTCCTACCTATACCCACAGCCTCTTCAGGCTTTGTCACCAAGGGGCACCCTTGGATGTATCTCTCCTGCATCCCACTGGGCACTAGAGACCACCCAATTCTACTGGGGCAGCCACTGTAGTCAGAGGAATATCACAATTTTGTTTTGTGTCAAGGGGACTAGGGAAGGATAGGTGGGAATCCCTAGAGGAGCTAGTGTTGAAAGTAGAAGATTTCATGTGTTCTATTATGGCCCAGTCAAGTGGATGGAGAAGATTCCATTGGTTTTATTAGGCCCCAATCAAATAGGGACCGCGAAGGCTAGAAGCCATTAGCACACAGAGACCAGTGACAGATGGAAGGCTTCCATACATCATGAACTGTGAATGAGTCAGCTGCTGGGAGCTCACGCCTATAATCCTAGCTGGTCAAGAGGCTGAGATCTGAGGATCATGGTTCAAAGCCAGCTAGGAAAAGAAAGTCTGTGAGACTCAACTCCAATTAACTGCAAAAACATATGCCATTGCTCAAATGGTAGAGTGCTAGACTTGAGTGAAAAAAACTAAGGGACAGTGCCCAGGGCCAGAGTTCAAGTCCCAGACCCAGCACATAAATAAATACTACAACATACTAATGATTCTCAAACTGAGATTTCTAGAACTCTAATTCCTCGAAAACAAGAATAATGCAGACTTAAGCATTAATCCAGTATCTTTACTACAGCAGTTTTTCTCAACTCTTCTGAACTTGTTAATTTGCAGAGTGCTCTTGCAAGGGCAAATGAGAAGGCCACACTTCAGCACCTTATTGACCTCAGAAGCCACTTCTGTGGATCCATCATTAGCAATTCCAGAAGGCAGTTTAAGAGATATTAGTCTGCAAGATGCCACACAACTGGTGTGCAAGGTTTTCCCAGAGTCCAACCCAACTGGTTATTTTCAGCACTCCAGAAAGAAGTTATATAAATTTGATATAACAAGGGGGCATGAGAAAACTCTAAGACCCAAATCACGCACACACTCACACACACACACACACACACACACACACACACACACACACACCCTTGTTTCCTACTGTACCAGGTGTTCATCCATGTAAAACTGCTACTAAATCCTAGGTGGTGTCTTGGCCCTGAGCATAGCGTGGTCAATAAAAGTAACCTCCTTCCTCTTAGGGCTTTGCCCCTAACACAGAAGAGAAACAAACAAGATGAGCAGGTAAAATATGGAGGAGATGAGAGTGGGCTGGGTTCCAAGGAGAAAATACCCAGTAGAGGACAGGGACATTTAGCATAGGGTATCTTGAAGGCAGAGCATTAGGGAAAGCTCTGTGACAGCCAATGAGACCGTGGGCTCCTGGCCAATCCTTGTGCGTGTATATCTGTAATCCTTCCCTTGCTTCTGAAGCCTACCACCCCCGCCATGACAAGTTCATTCTTTTGTCTCCCTATTCACCCCATTCTTCAGTGTGATGAATTCTCAAAGCATTGTGAACTGTGTAATTCCCCTCAGTAAAGAAAATCATCCAAATCCTGGCATCTCTCAGGGCCAACTCCCTTCTTGTCCATATCTTTGTTAGTGAAGAATTCTGGTCCTATTTCATTTCATACTAAGTATAAACCAACTAAAATGGTAACACAGTACTTCAAAAGACAGCCTTAACACCTTTTCAAACTCAATGGTTTTGGATAAACCACTAAGTTGGGTCAGCTTCCCATCCATCCAGTCTATCCATTCATGTATGCATGCCTCCATCCATCCAGTCATATATATACACACACATACATTTATCCATCTATCCATCCAATCATCCATCCATCCATCTGTCCATGCTTCCATCCATCCACCTATTCATCCACCCACTTATCCATCTGTCATCTATCCATCCACTCATCCATCTACCTATCCATTTGTCCCTACATACATCCTTCCATCTACCCATCCATCCAAGAAATATTGTCTGAGGGTTTACCTTGTTCCAACTATTGTACTAGATGCTTGGGACATAGCAACTCAGAAAACAGACAAAAATTCATGCTTTCCTGGAGTTACTAGAAGAAATAGTAAATAAACACCATCAATGGATGAATGAAGTAGTATGTTCAAGATGACAAACACTAGGGAAAAAAACAGATGAAAGTAGAACTGAATTAGAGAGCTTGCATTAGAAGACAGGAGATCTTGCCAGAGCACATTCTCTGCTAACTCCTCAGGCAGTGGATTTGTGAGAGGGAAGGGAGGGAGGCAGGAAGGGGAGGCGGAAGCTCTGGGCTAGGACATTAGGGAGTTCCTTTTTGACCTTGACCTTGTGTCCCTTCTTTCCAGGCACGGAGGCCTGAGTGACCAGACCATGGAGACCCTGCTTGGTGGGCTGCTGGCATTTGGCATGGCGTTTGCTGTAGTCGATGCCTGCCCCAAGTACTGTGTCTGCCAGAACCTGTCTGAGTCACTGGGGACCCTGTGCCCCTCCAAGGGACTGCTCTTCGTACCCCCCGACATCGATCGCCGGACGGTGGAGCTACGCCTGGGAGGGAACTTCATCATCCACATCGGCCGCCAGGACTTTGCCAACATGACCGGCCTGGTGGATCTGACACTGTCCAGGAACACCATCAGCCATATCCAGCCCTTCTCCTTCCTGGACCTCGAGAGTCTCCGCTCCCTGCACCTTGACAGCAACCGGCTGCCTAGCCTTGGCGAGGACACCCTCCGGGGTCTGGTTAACCTGCAACACCTCATCGTCAACAACAACCAGCTGGGGGGCATTGCCGACGACGCCTTCGAGGACTTCCTGCTGACGCTGGAGGACCTGGACCTCTCCTACAACAACCTCCACGGCCTGCCCTGGGACTCGGTGCGGCGCATGATCAACCTGCACCAGCTGAGCCTGGACCACAACCTGCTGGACCACATCGCCGAGGGCACCTTCGCCGACCTGCAGAAACTGGCCCGCCTGGACCTCACCTCCAACCGGCTGCAGAAGCTGCCCCCGGACCCCATCTTTGCACGCTCCCAAGCTTTTGCTCTGACGGCCACGCCCTTCGCCCCGCCGTTGTCCTTCAGCTTCGGGGGGAACCCGCTGCACTGTAACTGTGAGCTGCTCTGGCTGCGGAGACTGGAGAGGGAAGACGACCTGGAGACGTGTGGGTCGCCGGGGGGGCTCAAGGGTCGCTACTTCTGGCATGTGCGTGAGGAGGAGTTCGTGTGCGAGCCTCCTCTCATCACGCAGCACACGCACAAGCTGTTGGTTCTGGAGGGCCAGGCGGCCACGCTCAAGTGCAAAGCCATCGGGGACCCCGGTCCCCTTATCCACTGGGTGACCCCTGATGACCGCCTGGTGGGGAACTCCTCCAGGACCGCGGTGTATGAGAACGGCACCCTGGACATCCTCATCACCACCTCTCAGGACAGCGGTGCCTTCACCTGCATCGCTGCCAACGCCGCGGGCGAGGCCACAGCCACGGTGGAGGTGTCCATCGTGCAGCTGCCGCACCTGAGCAACAGCACCAGCCGCACTGCTGCCCCCAAGTCCCGCCTCTCCGACATCACGGGCTCCAGCAAGACGGGCCGGGGGGGGGGAGCAGGGGGCGCAGGAGGCGCAGGAGGCAGTGGGGCTGGAGAACCCCCCAAAAGTGCCCCTGACCGCGCGGTGCTGGTGTCCGATGTGACCACCACCTCAGCCCTGGTCAAGTGGACGGTCAGCAAATCCGCACCCCGCGTGAAGATGTACCAGCTGCAGTACAACTGCTCCGACGACGAGGTACTGATTTACAGGTGGGTACTGTGTACTGTGGAGGAGTGGCCGCAGGAAGGGCAGGGGAGGTGGCCAGTGGGGCTGGAGGGTGTAGGGGTTGGAGCTCTTCCCACCTTTAGGCCTCCTCTGGGGCCAGCCGTGACACCTCTAGGCATGTAAGAGGAGATCGAAAGAGAGGGCTGCTTCGAGGTTTGTTGTAAGGGAGTTCCGTAGGGAGAAACAGAGAAGCCACACTTTGAGAGGTCGAATCGGCAGTCCTTAATGGAGAGCCGGCCGCTGTGGGTGGATTCTTGTCTCAAAGACCAGCCGCCCAGAGCAGAGCTAGCACACAGCGTGTAAAGACAAAACCACGTTTGGGCGGGGCACCCCAAGCCCAACCAAAGCAGACTGTATTGGGAAGTAGCTCAGGTACCAGCAGAACTTTCCAGCGAGGGAAGTAGCTCTGGAGTCAGCGTAAACTTGCCCTATAGGTGGGAGGGACATGCCTTAACCATAGAGGGAGAAAGCCTCAGAGGAGAGTGAATGAAACCATTTAGGGAGATCGTGGAGGATGGGCATTCTCCCTGTAGCAAAAGCTCTCCTGAGACTCAACAGCATGACCTCTGAAATTCAAGGAGTAGCTTCTCTCAACTCTAGGCTTTTCAGAGCTGGGTGGCAAGTCCCCTCCACCCAGAATGGCTGTAAGGACAAGGCATATTACTTAGACCCAGTCTCCTTACTTCAGTTGAAGAAGGAAAGGACCACACATGGCAGCTGAAGAGAAGCCATAGAAGGACCCAGGCAGGGGGCAGTGGTGGCTTTGAGTCTCTAAACTTGATGCTTTGAGACCAGTTGGCTGATGCGCTAGACCAGTGTGAGGATCTCTTAGCCAGAGGATCTGACTTGCAAGCTGTCATTTGAAGTCAGCAAGATCATTGGAAGTGTGTGTGTGGGGTGGGGAGGGCAGGGTTTTATCATGGCTCTGCCACTTGCTTGTCCTTTGATTTTCCTGGCCTGCCTTAGTTTCTTTACCTGTAAAATGGACATCATTTATGTTAGACTTAGAATGGATATCTGGTGACAGGTAATTCAATCAAAATGACTGGAGGGAAATAAAAAGAAAAGAAAGAAAATGGAAGCAGAAATGGGTTGGCTTATATCACCGAAAAGTCAGGCAACTGCTTCAGGAAAGGCTGCATCAAAGGGTCAGACCCTCCGATGTCTGTGCTCTGGGTTTCTTTCCCCCAAGGACCACATAGATTCATACTCAGGCAACTTCTTCCTTCCAGAAGACCTCTACCCAGCCTTGAAGGGGAGAAAGGTGGCCCGTGGCCCTTGATCTCTGATGGCATGAGCCCTACTCATGAGACTTAGAAGGAGTCATCTTCCCACATGAGTTGAGCCTTCTGGTCTCCAGTCTTCTCATGGAAGTGGAGACAATGATAGTGACCTTGTAAAGTTACTGTGAAGGGTAAGGGGTCATTCCCCAGGCTGGGTAGAAAGAGAGACTGGGTAGTAGAGAGATGAAATAGAATCTATCAGAGTACTACGGGATAGGAGAGCCGACACAGACGAATCCCTTCCGAGGCCAGCCTCAATTTCTAGGGAATAGGAAGGACATGGCTTAGAATCTATGGCTCAAGGAAAATCTGCTGTCCTTCAGCATCTTCTGTGTTTAATTTCATGCATGCAGAACGATAGGTTTCAGAAAGAAACACACAGACTTTATCCCCTAGGCCACGGGCACCTCTGCCTAATTGTTGACATATTTATGTGGGGTGGGGGACAGAGGGGTGGGTGTGTCCATCCTGGGGCTTGAACTCAGGGCCTGGGCACTATCCCTGAGCTTTTTTGCTCAAGTCTAGTATTCGACCACTTGGACACTTGATGGTTAATTGGAGATAAGAATCTCATGAATCCAGCCCTGGATGACTTTGAACTGCGATCCTCAGGTCTCAGCCTCCTGAGTAGTTAGGATTACAGATGTGAGCCACCGGTTGTGTGGCTTTGGGGAGCATATTTGATGGGAAGAGCAGGGTATAGGAGCCTGAGGGTGGGTGTACCCAGAAAACACAGCCCAGCCAGGATTCCCTTTCTTTGCACATGCTGGGCCCTGCTGGAAAGCAATATCCTGTCTCTGGGAGCAAAGGAAGCAGAATAAAGGAATTAATCTGAGGCACATACATGCATGCATGGGTCTCCAAATGTAGAGATACATAATTAAATTTAAGCATACATATGTGAGTTCTTCTACTTATAAAAGTCAAGTCTTTGTAGAAAATTTGGAAAGTGGAGAAAAGATATAAAGAAGGAAATGAAAATTACTCATTCTGCACCATCCACATTTAAACCAGAGAGGTATTTGGGAAAGCACCTTTCTGTTTTATAATAATCCTAATTGTATTTATGGCCAATCTAGTGTATATTATTGTAGCTTAATCCTGTCCACTGAATGTGACCGTTTGCTCAGTTCCCATGGAATTGAAACATTTTTTTTTTTGGCTTGGCTCCATGGTAACTGATGTAGACAATCTTTAATCATTGGACATTCAAGTTAAGTTATTTGCCATTTATCAATACAAAATGGAAGGTCATGATGGTATTTTTATATATAAATACTAGTGCATTCTCAATGATTTTTCTCAACCTATTTTCCTGGGAGTTGAATCATTGGCTTAACCAGTAAATTATAATGTTTGCATGTTCCACATAAGTATTTATTTACCCTGACACTCCGTGGTTCTAGGCACTGCCTGTGTTGACCACACCCTTTTGGATATGGAATATAAAGAATGCCTTTCATCTTTGCCAGTTTGAGAGGTAGAAAAAAATGGAACTCATTTTAATTTACATTTCTTTGATAATGTGTGAGACTGACCTTTGGAAAATAAGTATATTTCTTCCCTTGTGAATTTAATATATGGACTCAACTTTGGTAAGAAGCATAAAGGCAAAAACTTAGCAGCTCTGCACTGGCACAGGTGTGGGGTGATGGGCTCAGGGTTCAGGAAGATGGGAAGAAGATGAGAACATCTACATAGCAACACACCAATGGCCCCAAAACGGTGCCCCTGGGGTGTCTCACAAATGCCAGGGCAGGGCAGAGAGGGCTGTGTTTCTATAGACTTTCAAGATGGGAATTCAAAGTCACTTTTATTTGTTGACTAGGAATCTGGAATTATAAATATAATGAAAATAAAATGGAACCATCAGAGTTAAAAATGCAGGTGACAATGGTGACTTCATTTTATTTTTTGTCTAGTGATGAAGACTAGACGAGGTATACATAGAAAGGTCTCCAAATACTGTGGGCCTATAGAAGGGACCAAGGGTCATGGCAAAGGAGTAAGGGATAGGGGAGGAGGAGGAGGAGGAGGAAGGAGAGTAAGAGCAACATAAAACAAGGCCATTATTTTGTATGTCTTCCTGGGTAAGGAAATGGAACAGAAAGAGTAGATTTGTAATTCAGCCTTTCTTTAAATGGATTGATTTACAGAGTTTTAGGGTCAATCTAAGTGTGAGCCTAGAAGCTAAGTAGTAATAAAATAAGGGTACCAGTGCCCTCTTGGGCACATGGTGGATGATAGGGTAACAGGCTCCATCTTGTCTTTATGATAGAGACAGAGAAGTTCCCCATCCAGGTGATGGGCGTGCCTGAATTCCTATAGGCAGGGTGGGGACTTGGATGAGAGGTTACTGGACCTGTCAGTCCTGTGCTTTGAACTCGGGAATCTCTTGAGTTTTCTGTAACCCTGCCCCCTGATCCTGACCTTATTTAGGCCCAGACCAGCTCAGGTGCCATTTTGCCTTGTGTCTTATGGCCCCTGGCTCCTGGCTCACCTCTGGTCACCAGGATATCCTACTTCAACTCTCCATTGGAGTTGATCTGGTTTGTGGGGATTGTTTTTCTGCTCTTTCTTTGCTTTACTACTGGCATGACTCCGTTTTTCTCATAGTATTAAGTGTATTTGAGGGGCTGCAGGTCTTTGTGACAGAGTCCACCTGCATTTGCCGGCTCTCCAATAAAGACTCCTGATTCGACCTCTCAAAATGTGGCTTCTCTGTTTCTCAAAATGAGTTCTTGTATGACAGTAAGGACAATCACGTATGATTGTGATCGTACTGCGTGACTTCGCTTCTAGACTCTGTCTCACTTAAGAATTTAATAAAGCTCTGCCAGGGTCCTATAGCCAGGAAGCAGCAGGATTGTTGCTGTGGCTTGGATACTCCATACGCATATACACACCAAGGATGCACACGTAAAGGCTTAGTCCCATGGAACAGCAGAACTGAGAGATGCTATGGATCTTTGGGGTCGGGGCTTAGTGAGAGGTTCTGAGGTCAGTGGGGTGTGTCCTGGGCAGGGAGATGGAGACGGGCACTTTCCCCTCATGGCCTGCTTGTGGCTATTGTCATTAGGCATCCTTCTCCAGAGGCCCACAGCAACGGGGCCACAGCATCTTGGCTCTGAACCTCCCAACAGTGAGCTAAGAAAACCTTTTCTCCTTATGAAAGCTAATTGCCTCCAGTATTTCCTTATGGAAATTCCAGACTCAGCCACTGGCCTCCTGTAGTTTTCACTGTGTGGGTGCTTGGAAAGAAATAGAGACTCAAAGACAGAAGCTAGTTAGAAAATGAATTGTCCCCAGGGGGAACACAGAAAGGCCTGCTGATTCCTTCTGGGATGCTGAGCCAGCAGCCTGACTTGGTTTGCAACTCCACTTCAGACTTCCCAGCCTCATGAACAAATCAACGTGGCTGTAGCTAAGTGCACCATGTTTCCCCAGTGTAGGACCCTGAGGCAATTGTGCCTTTTAGAGTTCCTTACCCCACAGGTACTTGAGCCCCCAAACCTGGCAGACATTGGTAGAGGCTCAGAGAGAGCGCAACACAGAATGAAAATGAGATTCCAGGCCGTGTTCTAGGGAGGGAGGGGCCGTGGACAATCCCAAAGTCTAAGTAACTCAAACATGACTGGAGTTTGGTGCCAGTGAAACTATGCCTTGCATTTTCAGGTGGGCACTGGGGCTTGAACTCAGGG